CATTTGCATAAATTATAAATGAAACCACCTAACCACTTCCCTTAGCACTCTAAAAAATTCCACCACAGCCAGCATCACCAGATGATCCTTTTGCTGCCCCTTCTACATTAAACTTTACCCATCCTTATTCAAGAATCCTCCATTTTGACTAAGCAGAGTGTGCACCTCTAAAATTAAAAATTAAAGTGCATTCTCCATACTCTCTTAGACAAATCTAGCATCATTGTAGATTTTCATAGTAAGAGCCACAACAGTGATATTACCCTTATTAAAAATCTTGTTATTCCTATTTTCCTAGAGTTGGCAAATAGTTATGGCAAATAAAAGATCCCACAAGGAGAACTCAAAATGTGTCTTCCTCTTTAAGTTTTAAATGAACCACTCTCTCTTATCGAGAAGAAAAAACTATGATTTATCATTAATAGGAATAGACATTTTCCATACATCTTTTGCAGCAGTAGAGTCTCTAAGAACATGTCTTTGGTGGTGTCATTGCACTCATCAAAGTGAGTGGGAGCTCCAAACAGTCATCCCCTTACGTTGCATGGATCATGCATAACCAACCACTTAAAAATTTGAACACATAACCCTAAATCAAATCTTAAACAATACCACTCGTGCTGCCATACTCAGTCTTTAAAGCATCATATATAGACAATATCATAAAGGTCCCATTATTCTCAAGGCACTAGAAATTCTATCACTTCCATCTGTTTGAGTCGGAGGACGACATCCCACAATTAACTGTAGTTCACCACAAAGCAGGTAGCTCCCAAGGATGTTGAGGTCCCAATCTCCCATTAAGTTTATAGCATCACATACCTTCATATTCACCAAATCTATAAATTGTTAATGTTACATACATCTAGTGATTAGAGCACTTCTTCTATCAAGCTACTTATCTTACTAGAATGAGACATTTTTGCCATCATGAATGTCCCATCTTAAATTTACTACCACTTCGGGCCACAACTCATCGATCTTTTTCTAAAGGAATGAATCACCATTTTTAGCAATATCTTTCTTTGTCAAGTTAGCTTCTCTCATACATTTTTCCTTTGAAATATTTGAGTAAAGGTTTTTTGGTTTGGAGATAATGTTCCAAACTGAATTGCAAATGAGAGCCTCATTCATAATGTAAATACCTTTTAAGCCATAACCACCCTCTCTTTAGAGTCATAAAGGGTTTTCCAATTGATTGTGTGAACCTTTCTTCAATCTTGACTAGAATCCCAAATACAATTTCTTTGAACTCTTTCAATCTCCTTGCATTTAAAGGCTGGTATCTTATAGTACATCATATGGTAGTTTAAGATTTAAGATGTCACAGATTAGACAAGAGTAAATCTCCCAGCTAAAGACAAAAGTCTAAGCTTCCTATTCGCTTAACCTTTATTGGACCTTCTCTACCAAAAATTTGAATTTATGTTGCTTGTTCCTCCCACGGGTATCAATTCTAGGCATTTTCCTAACGCATTGCTCCTTTCATCATTGCTATTTCTGGTAATCTCCTCTTGCAATTCAGAGTTAACATTATTAGAGAAGAAAGTGCTTGTTTTTTCCAATACCTACCTTTTGTCTTCATATAGTATTAACTAACTCAAGTGAACTCATCACGATGTCTAATTGATCTATGTTAGCTTTGTAAAAAATCAATAAATCATCCAGAAAAAATATAATTTTAGATCTCTATACTTTTTTTTAGAGTTCTAAGTCCCTATAACACCACTCATGAAGGGATCTAGAACATAAAAAAAAGTATAGAGACTTAGAACATAAAAAAAAAATTGTAAGGACCTATGGCAAAATTCAAGCAAAGTGTAGAGAATCAAATGTAAGTTTTTCTAATTATATACAAAAAGAAGGGGTGAGATAGGCATTTCTTTCCGTCCCATTTTGATTGGTTTCCATCTTTTCTACGTTACTACATCAATAATAATATGTGAGGGTTTATCCATATAAAGAGCAAATAAATAAAGATATAGAGGGTATTTTGTGTGAGACCCCTAGTAAGGTTGAAGTCATTTATTTTATAGCCATGCCACAGGATTGAGGTAGTTGGGGATTTGACACAATGAGACACCAAAATAGTGAAATGTCAAGGTGGCCCAATATCTATCAGGACCTTTATAACAAAATCCTAGTTTAGTCTATTGTAAGCCTTCTCTAGATTAATTTTAATGGCCATATAGCCTTTTTTACTGGTCATCCACTTCATTGTATGCTCAATTTCCCAGCAATAATAATATTGTCTTGTATATTTCTATTGGAGCAAAATTTGCTTGGAACAAAGAAATCAAGTCATTTATCAAAAGTTTAAGTCTATTGACCAAAACCTTGCTTAGGCCTTTGTAAATAATATTGCATGAAGAGATGGGTCTAAATTAGTAAACTCTTTCAAGATTATCTGCTTTAGGAATGAGAACCAACAAAGTTTTGTTCATATTACTAATCAAAGAAGGATCACTCCAAAGAGCTTTAATAAAGTCACAGACATTGCTGCCAATAATATCCCAATTTTTTTGCTAGAAGATGGCATGAAACCCATCCTCCCCTAGACTTTTAAAGCCCTTCATTTCGAATAAGGCTTAGTTAATCTCATCGTTATTAAGAACATGATTAGTTCTATCTAGCCGTTCCTTGCTAACATAACCCCATCTCTATTCAGTATGCCAACATAATCATGTTAATGCTTGTTTTTCTTAAGAAGAATGAGGGTGTGAATTAAATTTGGCAAAACTAGACATTATATTATGCAAAAGCAATGAATGATAATAAAATTTTAAATTATTCAGATATTTAAATGATCTTAATTTAATCGTATTCATGGATTACTCATAGTCAGAGATCACAGATGAAAATGCTTTCAAGAATCTTTTTACATATATACATAAAATACAATAATTCTACATCTTTTTCGGTTATTTATTAGTACATCATGTTCTAGCTAATAAAATTATTCGGGTTTTTCCCTTTTTTATAAACAAAATACAAGTCAAAGTATTCTAATTTTATATAAGGTTTTAATTTAAAATTTTAATTTTATAAAGTATTTGTTCAATTCTTTAATCCTAACACTGTTAACTTTAGATGATTATTTTTAGGCAAACCATTGTTACTTTAAAAAAAATTAAATTTAATATGTCGACATTTGAGAATGTATTCTCAATAATTAAAAGTCAAATGTATTTTTTTTGGGTAATGAAACTAACAATGTTAAAGTTAAAAAATTAAAAAAGTAGTTTATAAAATTAAAAAACTAAACTAAAACATTTTATAAAGTTAAAGACTTAAATTATGCTTTAACAAAAAAAAATAAGAATTCTTTTTTTCTATATCTTTTTTTATATATACGAAGGAAAAATCTTTAGGTTCGTTTGATTCTGTTTTCATGTTTTCAAAACAATTATGCAAAATAATTTTTCATAAGGATGCACAGAGACCGGGCAAGACCAGGTTAGTTATCAACCTGGTGCTCAATCCTTATATATCGAGATCGAGACCAAGACTAAGACCAGGATCGGGCCAACCTGATATACAAAGACTAGGTTTTGGTCTTATATTGAACAAATAAAATAACAAATAAATTTTATATATGAAATCATGTCTATCTAAAATATTCCCTTGAAAAATAATATTATGACCAAAAGAAATATTTTTAAATTTTTAAAAAATCAATAACATACAATGTTTTTATATAATATTAAGGTAGGAAGTATATTGCTTGAAAGTTTTCATAATAACATTAAAGTAATTTATTAAGTATGATTCATAATAGAAAAAATCTCATAAAATCAAGCAATACTAATAAAAATTTATTATAACATATAACATACATACATATATATATATGTCGTGTTGAGCAAGATTAAATTTGAACTGAACTTGGAGTCTAGCCTGACTCGATCACCAAGATTAACCCAGGAGATTGGGTATGACTTAGCTTACTAAGTTGGTTGCAAGCCCCTAGTTTTTGAGAACAAGTTTTTGAAATAAAAAATTTAAAAAATATGTTTGAATCATTATTTTAAAAAATGTATTTAAATTGGTGAAATAAAGGGTGAAATAATAATTTATTTTATTAATATAATTGTCATTGCTGAAAACACAATATTTTCAACCTTTTCTCCAGTTTTTAAAATAAAAAATAACAAAATATTAAAAAATGTTCTGATTTTTTAGTTCTACAAAATAACTTTTAAATTTTTTGCTTTTTAGAACAAATAACAGAAAACATATTTTTAAACATGTTTTTTATTTTGTTGTCAGAACAAAAAACTATTCTAAAAATGGGTTGCCAAATAAACTTCTATTGGTTTATATAGTTTACTGTCGTTTATATGCACCCTCATGCGATTCACACTACTAATAATTAGTATTATTATGCTTTCTTTAATTTTATTTCAGAAAATTATCTTTCCACATTTTATCACATATCATCAATTTTTTAAAATTTAAATTTAAATTATTTTGATATCCCTACATCACGCAAACTACTTTTTAACCAAATTCAAATTGCGCCAAAAATCACTTGATTCAATGGCATTTTATATCCTTTTAAAAGGAGTTTATGAGTTCTATCCTCAAATAATTTGGGAAATATTATTAGGCGTGCGTAGTGTGGATGTTGTGTGCTTTAACACAAGGTGTGTGTGCTTGCATGTGTGTGCTTCCCTCTTTTATGGGGATGGGATGGTTAGAATAGTTTAAACCCAAAAAAAAAAAAAAAACAAATCCAAGTTATGTGTCAGACAAAGGAAAACATAACAAATTGATAAATTCTACGCCCTCCCTTCAATATTAAGATATCTTTTAAATATGATTTTTAAAATATAAAGTATTTTAAAATATAATTAATATATTTTGTTATAAAAATATTTTTAATTAAGAATGCAATTTACAAGGTTTTTTAATGGAAATATGAATACACTTAACTAAATTAATTTATTATAGTTATAAATTATTATTATTTTTTATGCTGGTCTTTGACATACTAATATCCTCGTCTTCCCGACTTCCTCCGTCGAGCTAGGGCAAATAGATTCACAGCTAACTCCCACGTCTTCAAGCTCCTCCGTTCACATCTGCGTGGCCAAATTAACGTGATTGCACTTCACTTTTATCAAGTTATAATCGGTAATTAGAGTATTGGAAATTCTTCCGTATTATAATCTCCATTGATGGGTTGTCTTTCAATAGTTTTCTTTTCTTTTCTTTTCTTTTTTCATGATTGCATACTGAAGCTTCGAAATTCTTCTATGGTGCGGTATTTTTCCATTTTCTAAATTTTTTTTTTCTTTTTTTCTTTTGATACGATCTTTCCAGACGGAGAGTGCGAAATCTTCTCCTATTTAATCTGCCCAACCGAGTAGATAGTAGAGGAAAATTAGTAATTTGGGTGCTGTTTTGTGACTGCAAATATTCTCTGTGTACTTGAAATCACTGGGGTTAACGTTCCTATTACTTACTCTGGATAATCTTGTTTTCTTGACTCTGCTTGTAGTGTAAATTTTCTAAACCAATATTTGTCATCAGCAGACCTGTTTTGATGCAGGAAGAATTACCATTTTCCTCTAGCCGCAAGATGATTGATTTGTTTTTGTCGGAGCCGAGCTGGGATGAAGATATGGATAGCGGTGACTCAATGAAACTGAGAATATCCCTTTTGAGTGAGTTGGAATCTACAATTCGATCATTGATCATGTCAGGAAGTCGATCAGAAGCTCGACTATGGCTTTGTAACACCATCGCAGGAATGACTTCCATCACTTCTCGCCATCAGTGTGAGTTATTTCTGAATTTACTGAGGTCACAGAAGCAGGGTTTTGCTTCTCAACTTTTGCATATGATGTTTGAGAAGAAACCACAGATAGTTGGATCCATTTTAGCGAAGAGAAGTCACATACTTGAAAAGTTTTTTGAAGGTGAGTTTCATCTATGCTTTGTTCATAGCTGGACTAGTTTGATTATGAAACTGCAGGGGCTACATTCCATTTGTTTGTGTGTGTGTGTGTGTGTAATTGTGGGCCCTGATTATGCATGATTTTGAGGAATGCAGGTAATCCAAAGCGTGTGTTGCAGTGGTTTGTCAATTATTCTTCTTGCAGCGGACTGGAGCTGGGAAAAGGTGCAAAGGCGTTGTCTCAATTTGCATTCATAAATAGAGATATTTGTTGGGAGGAGTTGGAGTGGAAAGGAAAACATGGGCAGTCACCAGCAGTAGTTGCTACAAAGCCTCACTATTTCCTTGATTTGGACATTCAGCAAACTGTAGAAAATTTTCTGGAGAATGTTCCTGAGTTCTGGTCATCCAATGAATTTTCTGAGTCAGTCAAAGATGGTGATATTTTTTTCATTGACAGGCAATTTTTTGTGCAGTATTTTATTGATTTAATGTATAAAGAGGATGGAAGGGATATATGGGAAGTTATAAATAAATTCCTCATAGAGCAGCCGTTTTCTGCTTTGTGCCACCACCTTCTTATAACTCTTGAAGAGCAGGATTTATTCAACTTTTTGAAACTGCTTCGTGGGTTTCTCAACCCTATAATGGAATCTAAACATTTCAATGGCATCTCTAGTCTGTTTGAGATTGTACTTGTAAAGTGTGAAGTTCCTGAATCTATTGACCAGATACTACTGTTAAATGCTATCATTACCCAGGGACGGCAGCTTCTTCGACTTTTGCGTGATGAAGATGCCCAAAATTCACGGGAAAGAATCAAAGAAATTGTCTCAAATATATCTGCAATACCAAGCAACTCCAATAGTTTGATTCCATTCTTTAAGAATGTTTGTAAGATGCCAACTTCAGAAGTGATAAAGTGTCTGGGACTTCAATGTTGGGTTCTTTATTATAGAATGTCACAAGAATGCTGTAATCCTGAGTCATGGGAGTCTGTCTTTTTGAATAATTGTATTGGTTTCCGCAGCTCCAACAAATATGCATTGCTAGATGATGATGGATCATCAGATGAATATCTTTACAGTAATGATTGTACTGCTTCAATAGTAGATAAAAGAAGGAAGAAACGGAAGGCTCGGAAGAAAAGGAGGAGGAACTGTGATGTTGATGATTATGACGATGTACTGCTGAATTTTGATTCTACAAGTCAGAAGTTGGATTTGCTATCAAATTCTGGGAGCTGGTTGCTTTCAACTGACGGGTATCTTGCAACATGGACTGATGTTAGTTGATCCCCTTATCTTTGAATAAAATCTATTGAGCTTCTAACTAAAGTGAAACTGTATTTTAGTTGTACTAAGCTGTCTTTCTTCCTCGCATAATGATTCTGCCATTAGATGAGCCATGTTATTCAAATGCTTTCAGATGTGTAAGTCACCATATTAAATGAATTTGAATCAGTACTAGCTATTAGACAAGATGACAATAGACAGAGAAGTAATAAAAGGAGTGTTGATATTTGCAGTTGATCAATGGTTGCATTTGCCCCATTGTTCTATGGTAACTGTAGCACATATTAATATGACTGCGATAGGTGGCATTTGATGTTTGGATATATTGTTAAAACCAATGTTTTCAAAACTGGATTAGACTGGCCAGTTTGAAAATTGGTGACTTGGTTTTTGGTCCAATCTAGAACATGGGGGGGACTGGCTGAGAAAAAGCTGGTCAAAACCCTTGGTCAACAACCTGTGAAAACTGTGAAAACCGGACAGTTCCTTGAGAACCTGGTTTTAAAAGGTGAAGTTAAATATGCTGAATAGCTGGATTGACTTTCAGTTAGTTATAGACTAATCTGTTTATTTCTTTTTGATATTAACTATTTTGGATTTGGATCAGCGCGCACACATATATCCTGTAAATTTAGTATCAATACTTTTATTTGTAGTATAAACTGAATATTAAGGATCTAGCTATTATTGAATCATTTAATTTAATTTCTTCCTTTTTGACTTCAGGTCTTGTAGAGGATAATGTGGTTGAAAATTTTTAGTTTTTGGTTAAAAAAATCCCAAAAAAAAAATTGAAATATTATCTGTTGTACTAATTGTTTGATGATTTTTCTTCTAGGTAGATTTACCTGACCACCTTCATTTACATTGCTTGTCAAAGTGGATGACATGGCTTTTTGCCAAGTGAGGTCGAACCCTACTTCAATGAGGCTGCAAAACGGGTGTTGAACCGTTAACTGTTGGATGGAAGTATTAATCACAACAACCTTTGGTATTTGCAAATTGAGAAAACTCCACCCAGCTAATGGAAAGCATGCATTGGCTCTTGAATTTGCTATGTACTTCAGCTTTTCGGCAGCAGCACAGTGGGATGAAAAGCTTTTTGCTTCATTTTGAAGATTATTCCCAATATATGTGGCTCCTCTGTAGAAGGCAAAGCTCTGAATACTATTATGGAAAGCCGGCTTTGAGAGTTGTGAATACTCCAAACAATGAACTCGTTGTGTGAAGCTAATGAAAGAGTCATTGATTTCTGAAAGCTGTGCTTCATAGATTACTGCAGTCCAGGGGTGAGCAACATGGTTTATCTTTCTTTTTTTATTTTGAATATCTCTCCACTAATCGATGGAATGGGATTCTCTCCATTCATGCCTTCATACTCAGAGGTGAGGGTGGCCCAAGGAAATATGACTTTGCACGGGATCCACATCCCATAATTGCACTCATCTATTAAGAACCGATTGGTTCAATCTCAGCACCTTAGCGTTAGTAATCAAGATTGAGCGATATTTTGTTGCCTTTTCATGTGGGCCCGTGGTAATCGTTTTTACGGAAACAATGGCAATACTCATTCATACCTCCCTTTATGAATCTTCATTGCACTTTATTGCCATCTTCCCATTCCAAAAACGTCCTCTCCCATTTCTTCTTAGACAGCTCTCCCCTCCCCTCTTTTCTTGTTCCACGACCTTGCCTCTGCTGCCTCTCCAGTCTCCATCATTTCCGCCGCACCACTGGCCTCTTCCCTCATCTCCATCATCGGCCTCTCCTGTCATTTCCACCACCAATGTCAGCCTGTCCTCTCATCTGCCACCATTGTTGGCCTCTTAGATCTCACTGGCAGCGGGATTCTTATGTGAACTCACCAGTGGTGGCTGCCTTTCGAATTCATTGGCAAGGGCCTTATTCTTCTTTGAATCGACCTTCATCTTTGAAGTGTTTGCCTTCTTCTTCAAACTCACCAATGGTGGCCTTCTTTGAACTCACCAGAGACTGCCTTCTCCGCTATCACCTTTTCTTCTCTTGCCCCATTTCCAAATCTATTCTCCATCTTTTCATTGCTCGGTTTACATATCTTATTATGTTGTGTGATTTTTTTAGTTGATTTGGCTGTTTGAATGCTCATTGTTGATTTGTCGATGGTTGCCGGCGAACTGGGAGAATGGGAATTTATTTTTTGGAGATCAAGGCTGAAAGGGTCACTTGATAATCTATTTGGCACTTGATTAGCAGAACATACCAACAGATGCCTGGTAATCAATATTACATCGCCGCGTTGTATTTGCATTGCATTACTTTATAGATGTAATTGAACAAAACATGCCCTTATTTCCTTCTCTCCCTCCCCCCCCCTTCTCTAAATGAACTCTTTGTATTAACATTCTGTTATTAATTTAGATTTTCCAATCCATGTTCACCTCTCTAATTCTCCCCAATTGTAATGCGGTTATTGTTAAATGAAGATGGTCCAATGTTGGTGTTTGAATCCACAGTCCGCATCATTTGGATTGCTGCTTGAGAACATTGAGTAATTTCTGAAACTAAGGACACATGTCCCTATCTTTGTTAGCAAAACTTAGGTTTTAAACTATGAAGATTTAACTAGGTAAGCCTTGCATTTCTTTGTCATAGTGCTTGTTGCTCTCCATTTTTATTTTATGTTGATATATGTGTTTGATGTGAAGTCGAGTTATTTTAACTAAAATGCACGCATACATGAAAATATATCGTAGAAATAAAATAATATCTTGCAAAATTCTATGTCATTAGATAACTCTTTTCATAGAAGAACAAAATTCTATGTCAAAAGAGTGAAAGACCACGTAAGGAAGGCTAAAATTAGAGTTAGAAATTCAGGTGGGTTGGCCTGACATGGGTTGCAGGTTAAATTGTCCGACTCGTCATATGTGGGTTGATGAGTTGCCCAAGCTGCAAATTTGATGGGGCAGGGTTAATCAACTTGCATGTAAATTTTTTACCCAAAAAAGAAAATTCATGTAAATTGATTAAAAAAATTCAGCCCAACCCGCTGCTTTATGGTAAGCTCAGTTGCTGGACATGGGTGATTTTCCGTGCTCTAGACAAGCCCAAAAATTACATAAGCCATCCCCTGTTTCTAAAAGCTGACCTAACGGTACCTCAATGTCGGCTCCTAGCAAATAGCCCTTCTGAAGAGCGAAGACCTCTTGAAAGCATCAGATAGATAACGTGGTGTAACCGTATAATAAATCAAACAAAGGTTTTATTTTTAAAGCAAGATGATTAAACTAAAAGCTCACTAATTTTGATAATTTGCTTCCGACAACAATAGGAAGGCGAAATCGTAGAGTGAAAGTGAAAGCCTGTGGGACTGCTATTGCTTAGGCTGTCCGCCACAGCCGGGGAATCTTTCGTGTCACTGCTTATTGCAACGAACGGCTTTTTGCTTCCTTAATCCTCTCTCTCTTCTCTGGCACGAACGAATCTCTTTCCAGTCTGCGGGAATGGAAAGAAAATAAAACATTAAATGTCGTGTCATAAGATCCAAAAGCCAAATAAATACTTGAATGTGCATTACTCCTCAACCTAACTAAAGCCACGCCCATCTAACTTCAAAGTCTATCCTGCCAGCCGAACACGCTTGTCAACATTGGCCATCTAACACATAATTCTTTCCAATTTCTCTCCTTTATTTAAATTAGGTTAGCTGTCGGGCCCGCATGTTACAGTTTAGACCCAGCTCCAATCACTTGGGAGCTGCACTATTCAGCAACTCCAGTTTACACACGCGTATTGATTCTAATTTCAAATTGCTATATTGTTTCTTCTCCGATCTCTCCTTATTCTCCTTTCTTCTTTTTTTGCCCCCAGACTTCCTCATCAATGATTGAAGGGAATTGAGAATGCGAACTACCTTTGATCTACCTCAATGATTATCTGCGCCATAATATATATTCTAAGCGTTTAGAAGAATAGTAATGCCACGTTTCATATATAGAAAAGTATTCTCTGGACCAAAAAGAAAAAATGTACCTATCCATTTTTTCTTTTTTTTTTTAAGGAAAAGTTCTTGGTGAATTGAGTCTTGAGAATTCATGAAAATTAAGGTACTCCTTTAAAATTAAAGAAGCTTGCAAAAGTATTTAGATATTATTTACTAACAAGATTTTTCATGTAGATAGTAGGATTTAATCTGATGACCTTATGAATTATGAATCAAGTTTTTATTAATTGAACTAACTTTCATTAATGCACCTGTCACAGTTTCTTTTAGGTACATTCATCACTCTCTTTTTGAAAAATATTTTCTCATGCTTGCATGCACTCAAATTTTTTAGGAGAATTTGAATTCAAGCAACTAAAAATAAACTACAAATTACATGGTGTATAAAATTTTAAGGGGAAAGGAAGAACAGCCCTCCTTTCAAGTTTTTGTGATTCTTAAACCCAAATTACACAGCGTTTAAGATTTTAAGGGGGAGCCCATCATCAAATCTGAATTATGAATAAAGAGGTCGGGTCATACTATATACTATCATATTCAAAATGGAAAACTATAATAACGTTAATGATAAAAAGTCGGCAAAGACATCATGATAACTTTTTCATCATGATATGGCTATAAGTTCAACGAAAGACACTTTTTCTGAATAAATTATCATGGGATACAACCCCAACATGTGAATATGTAATATAAAAACTTAAAAAAATTGCATAATAACATAAATTTATAATATAAATTATCAAATTAAAGTGTGTTTTCATCATGACTTGAATAAACATGATATCTTTTTTTTTTTTTTGGTTAGAGTATATTTTTCCTTTAGGCCAAAGGTCAGAGTTGCATTTGGAAGATGGTTACTCGTTTTGCTTGGCCAGCTCTGTGTTCAGCCACGTCGACATTCCATCAACCGCATTGCCACGAAGATGATGTTATATTCCCCCAGTCTTATTGGTAAAATATCTTTTAAAAATAATTTATTATTTAAAATATTAGGCACTTTATAATGATTATATCATTTTTTAATTTTATATTTTTTTAATTAACATGAAAATATTTAAGATAATTATATCATGATTTAAAGTTATAAATAAAAACAAAAGTAAATCTCATCTTTTTACAATATAAAAAATTAATTTTTTTTAAATGCGTAAAATAGTCAAAAAAAATTTTATAATAAGAGCTAAGACAAGAGTATTATATATTATATATTATATAAATATTATAAATAAATGTATAGATTTATAGAATATTTTTATGCACATGTAGCATAAACCGTAAACTGAAAAAGATCGTGCAAAAAGTGGCATGATAACTATTTTAGTGCATGTTTGGATAAATATGTAACTGAGGTTTGGATGGCCAAAACCTCAGTTGAGGTGTCAAAAGCTCATTATAAAAATTTTATTTTTGTTTGGCTATAAAAATTTTGTAAAGAGCGTTGGGAAAGAAACGAGCGTTAGAACTGAAGCCACAAAATGCAGCTTCTAAAGCAACGTAACGTGGGAAAGTGAAGTTGGCATTCATTGTTTCGTGGGTTTTCTCTTTCTTGTCCTTACATGATATCTCTTGCTTCCTCAATCTCTCATCTTATCGTAAAGTATTTGCACAAGGTTTCAGGAAAAAATAGAAAGAAAAAGAAATATGAGATTATACAAATTGAATCATTAAATCAATTATGATTAAATTAAATGGAATAAAAAACTAATCATAAACAAAATTTTTTTTAAGTTAGTAGCAATGTAATTTATTTTTTAAAATCAGTGCAACACATTTATAAAATTTAAAAAAATTTAATATGTCATTTATCTTAGATTTTTTTAATTCTAACTTTTAAAGAATAAAATTGTATAATTTAATTTTACCTTTCTGAAAAATTTAATTGTAAGTTTAATATTCTTTCCTAAAAATATCATATTAGTTACAAAAATATATACAAAAAAAAATTGATGTCTATTTTTATCATTATATATCTCAACTGATTTTTGAATCAAATCATCCAAACAAATTTTAGTTCATTTAACTGACTTCTGAAAAAAAATATCCAAACATAAATCACGTTAAAGTCACAGACATTTCTTCCAAAATTTGCTAACCTCAGTTAATTCTAACCTCAATTTTAAAATTTTTAATCCAAATACACCCTTAATTTTTTGACCCAAAAAAAAGCAGTTCAGTTTAACCGAGACCAAGAGATACAGAAGCGGCCGATGCACCGTGGGATCGAACGGTGATGATGTCGCAATTCGTCTCGAAGGGGATGTGGCTATACAAGCGGGACGTACCCAGCGATGGTAAAACCGTAAATTAAGTGTGCCATTCGCAGACAACTGGACAAGGGCTTTTGTGTTTCTTGGTCCGCACGAGGGAATTGAGATCAAACGAGAGCGGGGAGGGAGAGAGAGGGTATAGGACGTAGGTAGCGAGAAGGAAGGCAATTCGATTGCTCCCGCAGAGAGGAAGCTCTGGATTCCACCTTTTCCCGTCCTCGGAGACGGTGGTTATGCCGCTTGCTGTTAAGGTCCTTTCTCCGTCTTCTCCGTCGCATTCTCATTCTTCGTATTCTTATCTCTTTCCATGTGATTTCATCGTGTCTTCCTTACAGATCCGATCCGATCCGTTTCGGATTCATTGGATTTGTTGCTGCAATCGGTTTGAATTAGTGTAATTATTGGTTTTCGTTGAATCTGTAATCGAACACCAAGGCTTGCTGAGTTTGGTGAATTCGATAGCTATATTTCAGAATGCCTTACTTTTGAGGATGTAGCGATTGATTTGGTTCGTTTAGGGCTTGGTCGAGGTTAAATTTGTTTTTGTGATCTGTAAGGTTTGTGTTTGTGGTTTTGCTTCCGATGTTGTAGATTTGTTAGGGTTTCTCTTCTTTTATCCGACTACATAGCATTTTTAGCTTAGCTTCATCCTATGTGAAGGATTGTCTACCGATGCTGTTTTGGTTATCCATTTTTCTGTTGGCTGAATATTTGATGCAATTAGCGGATCGTAGTAGTTAGATAGTTTCTTACTGGTTTACTTGGAATGCTTTTAATTCAGCTCCTTCGCTGGTGCAAGTGCATTTTTACATGCAGTTCGATTAATCCTCATCTGGATAATATTCAGCCAAATTCCAATGTTCTTCCGTTTTCTAATTTAACGGACGGATAACTTTTCATATGCCGTATATTTGATAATATTACCAAGTTCCTTGACATATGCTGCTTCCATGGTAAATTATCTTTGATTATACCCTGAGGTTGATGTGACCGAATTTTGATCAGTCTCCAGGTGACATTTGACTCCAAACTAACCTTCTGAGTTGTGACCGATCCTTTGGTTCAAGGCCTCAATAAATATTTCAAGGCCTCTGTTGTGAATGGCATCTAAGTCATTTACAAGGCTTCAGTATACATGAGTCATGGATAATCAGTTCTGTG